TGGTTTTCTGCCGTGTTGCCGGTGGATGCGAGTGGCTCACGGGGTGGTTCGTGTGCACACTTGATACCGAACGCTTTCTTTAAACGGGAAATTAACTTTGAAAAGGCCATTTTATCACCGTTGTGTGGAATCGCAGTAAATACTGAACTACTAGTCGTCGAAAGAAGCAATGAGGGTTTCTGCTTGATTCAGTCAGCTTTAATTAGCCACTGATGATGTCAGAGTTACGTGGTTCCATTTGGAACGCGAAAGAACATTTTCAAAACACGCGGGGACTTTTTAAAACACAATAACTCAAACAACTAATGCAGGGCCGCGCTAGACTGACTGGCTAATTTGCCTTAAAGTGCCCACACATCCACGTTATACACACACACACACACACACACACACACACACACTTAGGTCAGAATTATTATCCCCCCTTTTTCTTTTCAGTTTAGTCCCATTATTAATCTTAGTCGACACAGCAGATTGAACCACCAACTTTTCCAGCATATGTTTTACACAGCAGATGCTCTTCCTGCTGCAAGCCACCTCTGGGAAACCTTTTAATTTTTTCTCTATTAAATATTTCCAAAATTACATTTAAGAGAGCAATGAAATTTTCACAGTATGTCTGATATTTTTATTCTGCAGTTTTATTATTTATTGAGTATAGTATAAATATTACTTATTATTAAGTCTTATTTGTTTTGGCTAGAATAAAAGCATTTTAACATTATATTATTAGCCCATTTAAGCTATTTTTTTCCAATGGTCCACAGAACAAACCATCATTATACAATAACTTGCCTAATTACCCTAACCTGCCTAGTTACCCTAACTAACCTAGTTAAGCCTTTAAATGTCATTTTAAGCTGTTTAGAAGTGTCTTGAAAAATGTCCAGTCAAATATTATTTACTGTGATTATGGCAAAGATAAAATAAGTCTTTCACGATGTAATTTCTCATTTTAATAATAGTTTTAAAGGATATCTGTGTGGTATTTAGTGACTCATTATGTTTTTAATTTAAATGAACTAATTTAGTAATGTTTGTATGTAACTGGACTTGTAAAAAATTTTTTATCTAAAACTTCTTCTCAATTAACATTAGTGACAACATTAGAAAACCATAGATAAGAGCTGACAGTTACTTACAGCCATTTATTTATTACCATCCTGGGTTTTGCTTTCATTTGCAAATTTCTTTCAAAATATAGCACTTAATATTTAATTAGTTTCTGTCATTTGAAAGTAATTGTTTACAGTATTGCAATATTTCCGTCTCTATTGTAATGTTACACTACTTTTGCATTGAATCTGAGCTCATTTTCGATATCATGGGTATGACCTATTATCTAGACTGTATATCAGTGGTTCCTAACTGTTTAGAGTGGCATACTCCTAACATCCTTCTCCATTCTCTTTTCCGCTCAGACTGCAGTCTCTTCATTTAAGCACACTATTTGCAATTTAAATAAACATTTTCTGTGAATTCTTTACCTTTATGAATTCTTCTTTTTTTACATGAATAATGTTTAGAATAAAGTATAAAGAAAAATATACAACTATAGTCAAAATTATGTTTTCCATGCATTAACTGAGCCCGCCAGTAGGTGGCAGTAAAGCCATGTTTTAAGTGAATAAGACATTTATTCAGTAACAAAGCAACGGTTGCATTTATGAACAGGTCAATGAATCGACTCTCACAATTCATTTCAACCACAGATTCATTCACCAAAATAACCCACTCTAGCCGAAGAAACCACTGGACCGATGTGAATGCTACCAGGTTGGAATAATGATTAATATTCTTGTAGATTGAAGATTTTGTTGACATTAGGTTTTATAGAGTTACAAAAATGGTAACGTTAGAAAATTGTTTTAACTGCGAACTGTACTGATTTTGTGTGAACATGCTACATGCTAATACTGTCATGGCATCCAACAACTGCAACCAGCAGCAGGGCATCCAGCATGACGTTTAGTGTTTACTGTTGAGTAGAACCACGACACACACATTATCAACACACACACACACACACACACACACACAGAGACAGACGGAACATCAGAAACTTATCTCAGCTCCAAATTAACATCACAAACTGCCATGAGAAGTAACACAGACTTCTTCCAGAATCATCAGTCATTTATAATTTTTTGTAAGTTTCATTTATAGCCTTTGTAAATAGTGAAAGAAATTTATCTTTGTGTTCCTACAATGTTTAGCCTTGTAAAGGTAAAATAAATATGTATAGAGAAAACTGTATTTAAGAAGAATAATGGACATGTCTCTGTGGATGCTGCTTTAATGACAGTCTGTATATACCTGTAGGCTGGAGGATTGACGTCATATTGCTATGAAACAGTTCCTAGCTGTAGCTAAAATGCTTATAAAGAAGGTTTTGATCATTTGCTGTTTCATCTTTAGCTTCTTTAGTTTTACAGATGTCTTTCTTTAAACATGGCTACAAACAGGAACTTTAAATGCAAACCAAAGAAATCAAATCCTCTTTATCTGAATCTAACACTGATTTTCTTGCATTAGTTGTGCTATAATATTGTACAATTCTGGTTTTACAAAGCTGTTGTCTGCTGCATATGATCAGTGGTGGAAAGAGTACAGAAATATCATACTTAAGTAAAAGTACCATGATTTGCCTATAAATTTAGTGCAAGTAGAGTAAAATTATCTGTTGTTAATATTACTTAAAGTATGAGTAAAAAGCAGCCCTTTCTAAAGTACTCCAGAGTAGTAAGTATTACGCTGTAAAAAGCTGATGCATTGGCGACCATAATTCAATGTCCAGTCATCGTCTAAAGACATTTTGATGTACAATAATGATGTCAAGTGACGTTGATATTTGGTTGATTTTAGGTTATGTTATAAAAGCATCAAGCCAATATCTTAAACCAACATCACGTTGATGTCAAATACTGACCAAAATCCAACATCTGATAGCTGTCATTGTGGTAACGTCCACACAACCTCAAGCTGTAACATCTTTAGACGTTGATTTTAGGTTGGACATCCGATTTTCATTTCCAAACAAAATGCAGCGTCTCCATGACATTGGAAGACAACGTCAGTCTGATGTCGTGTTGAGGTCTTGTGCCTGCTGGGTGTTTAAGGCCATTTCGGTCATCATACAGTAAACACCCATGATCTTCTCATCAGTGACATGCATCTAAACAGTCTCTGGGTCATTGAGTATAAAGATTTTGGACAATTTTAATGCTTGCAAACAGTTTGCTGCAATTATAAATCGCCCAAGTCTTGAGGTAGATCTTTATGTTGCGATTTACTTTCTGTGTGCGATTTAACTGGACAGGAATCTCAAGACTGATTTTTCATATTCCCATAGATAAGACAAAATAAAGTAGTGACTACAGGTTAAAGTAGTGGAGTAAAAGCACCGATACAGCACTGAAAATGTACTCAAGGCAACACACATTTTTAAAACTACTAAGTAAATTACAATTTCTGAGAAAATGTCCTCAATTACAGCAGTTTAAGTATTTGTAGTGTTACTTTACACCACTGCTTCTCACTACACAAAGTCTGTCTTGAATAAAAAGGAAATCACTTTAAACATTATTAACACATACTAATAATTTCAAAATCACTTTAGACAGTATTAACACATAATTATAATATCAACACAAACAGGAAAACAGTTGTTTACTATCATCAAGTCCTTCAGTTCCACTCGAGGTCTCCATGATCTATGCCCTGGTTTGGTGGCTCCTGAAAATAGAATTATAAAAAGTCTGTGACCTGATGACCTGAACATTCTTATATTAAGCAATGTGTTTACTTTATTCAGTAGTCAAAATCATTTCACAGGTAAAAACTGATTCAAATAATCAAATTAATAAAGCAACGATAATAAGGATGATGAGAAAACACTGATCCTTGTTTAATTCATGCTAGAAACATACTAGTAACAATTCATGCTAGAATCTTGCTAACAACTCATGCTGGACTGTCTTGTTTCAGTCTTTAAATGGTTAAATTGTTGACTGCAAGGATCTTCAACATTCTTTTTGTCATCTTGACACTTTTTCAAACTAAATAATCTACTTTTAACAGGCTTTTTCAAGCCACTATAAAGTTTGCCCTCAACCTTTATCATGTCTTTGGGAGGAAACCTATGCCTACAATAAGGGGAACATACTAACTCCACACAGAAATGCAAACTGGCCCAGCCGGAACTCGAACCAGCCAACCTCTTGCTGTGAGGCGACAGTGCTAACCACTGAGCTACCGTGCCACCTTGAGGTCATATCTTCTTCAATGTTACAAAGTTGGGGTGTAATGCTGCACAAGAATGATGCTTTGGTTGGGTGTGGCTACTTTGGCTCTCAGTTTTGTGTCACAGTTTGATTCGATTCTGATTCACAAGTTCTAATTTGTAATCTTGATTGAATTCTTCAGTGTGTTAAATGAAAATATATAAAGCTAGAAGTTCCACACGCTGTTGTTGAAAGAACACTGTATTTGTTCAGTGGTACAGTGATGTTCAGTGGTATTGCTGCTTATTAAACTGAAATACACATTCATAAAATGTTTGACATTTTTTTTATTAATATCAGCTCCATTGTTTTCCCCGTTTTAAAGCACACAGTTCTTCTTGAGTCTATATCTAGGGCTTGCGAAAATACCTTTGGGCACTTTGTAGAGGCTTTTTAGATCCAAATTCGTCTGTTGTAGTGACCTCCAATCAGTTCCCAATAGATTAAAACAAATTCCCTCTTATGTTTATTTTTCCAGAAGCCATCTCACTTACAAATACACCAAATCAGCACTAAATAGTTACGAAATAAAAGGCACAACTGGATTATGCTGATTTTAAATTTCCAGCAGTACTGATGCCTACAGGCTTTTTTTTTGGTTCTCGTTCTGGAAGTGCTGTCTCACATGCTGACGGTCCAGGCCAAAGGAAACATGGACGGGGAAGTCCTCGAAAATCTGAAAGCAAGGCTGGAGCAGTGGTTGAGGTCAAGTAGGAAGAGCAGCCTGAAGTGGAAAAAGTTGACGTTGTTGATGCAGGCGCTCTTGATGATCAAGGTCAGTGGAGTGCAGATTGCATTCTATATATTTCATCATTTCCTATATTTGAATGTATTTTAATTGTACACACAGGTGACAGTGATTATAAACCAGCTGATGAGGAGGCCAGATCAAGACTGGCTGTCAGGCACTTCACTCCTTTTCCCTCCTGCTCTTCATCATCTCCCGCATCTACCTCACAGAAATGTCCTCGCAGGATGGTGGGACCTCCTCGCATATGTCTTTCAGATTCAGGCTAGGGTTAGTCTAGCTTTTTGGGTCACAGAGGTAAAATAAGTGAAGTTTTACAAACTAATTTCAAAAGGAGTGGGATATTATTGGCTGCTTTTCCACTATCATGCCAAACTGTTCTAAGAACACTTCGGTACGGTTACGGTTGTTTCTCGCTAGTCATCAGACATCCTCAATAAACTACAGTACATTTAATATAAAATAATGATCCAGGTCTAAACGATACAGTTTGAAAACGGTTTTAAAATCATAGAGCAGTCTCTGGCAGAGAAGTGAATAACTCATCACATTCTTACGAAGATATTTTATTCATTAAAGTTATTATTTTATTGACTTGAATACAGACCTACTTCGCCTGCCTGAATGTGAGTTTATTGCACGCAGCGCTGCATTTCACAGCACAAAAGTCGCTCTGACTGGGAGAGAACTACCAGCGACTACATGCGCTGCTGAAAGACTTTTTTTTCCTCCTGCGCATCTAATAAAGCGAATAAAGACACGCTTAGCATTGTCAATGTCCAAATTCCACAACAACATCGCTATATCCATGGAATATGAACTTGCAGACTTATTTAACGAGGAAATAATTGCTCTTTTTAATTTAAAGCCACGACAGCTTGTTATTTTAATACCGGCGAGACCACCTGAAGGACGGCGTGTTGTAATGTCGGCCGTCCAAAAGACTTACTGTTGTATGATTTATATTGTAGCCTATATATGCACTAATAAACAAGTCAAAAGAATGAATGAATTAAATAAATATGGATTCTTAAATGTCAGTATTGCTTTTAGTCATAAAATATCAATATGTTTTGACATGTTTTATAAAAATAAAATGAGCATTTTTCATCATTTCAGCTATAGGCAATTATATGATTCAGTTATACATAAGTTATATGACATTTATGGAGCGTGTAACATGTTTCTGTGTTTTTGTTTTTTTATTCTCTGTGATCTTTAATAGCTATGCAAATATTTTTTAAAACGTCAAGCAATAATTTGCCTACAACTTTTTAGTTAATTATGAACACAAAAATAATTATAATAATAAAAATAAAATGATCAAAATAAAAAGGTAAAAGATTAGCATTTTGCTAAATATAATAGTCCTTTATATGCTTTAAATCCTGCAATATATGTGTTGTTTCATATTCGTTTATTATTTCACTTGCTGCATTCATTATTTAATGTTTGAATACGGAAACAAATAACAGCCATCACTTAAATGGTTATATTTTACCATCAAAATGTAGTATATTTTATATCATTAGCAACTTTTAATATAAAAATACTGCATAATATAATTGATTGTTAAAAATGAAATAATTTAAGTGCTATAATTTTATTATTGAAAGTTTTGCTCACTTTTGACAAGGCCTGTCCAAAATGATATTTCTGCCACTATACAAATGCTCTATTATTGTTGCCTTATCATTGTTTATTTTTCTGTTATGTTCAGAGATAATAAATATTATTTATTTCCCCTCCAATCATTTTCAATCATCGCGTTACATTTCGGTCATTTTCCCTCCAAATAAAATTTAGCCAGAGCCGCGCAACATATGACCTCTAAATAAATAAGGGTGCTGTGACATGTACCTATATTTAGCACCCCTATTTGATAGAGCGACATAACAGTGTTCAGTCACATGGTTGCTTTCGCTTTTATGATAAAAAAAAACTAGCTTCGGCTATTAATTAAGTTTAATTGAACAAAGGGAGCCGTTTACGTTTACGTATGCGTTTTGTGTAATGTTTTAAAGAGCTTTGTCGTAGGAAATGAAACCTTATCCGTGCTGTCTGGCCTCGTTTTGCACAGTTCTACTTATAGAACGCTTCAGCAAGATAGTGGAAAAGCGGCTATTGACAGCCGGTCCCTATCAGTAATCATAATCCTGCCAATCGTATTATTCCAAATTTAACATAAATATCAATGTCACAGTGTAAAGCTAAAAGACACTGTGACTAACGAACACACATCACATTGCACTCATACATAAAATACACACTTTTAAACATGGACCTTTGTGTTATTTGTATTGTGCATGTGTGTGTTTGTGTAATGTGTATATGTTGTTTTTTTTCTGTCCAGATTAGCATTGTGTTTATGTAAAAATTTAACTTATGTCAAACAATAGCCCATATCAACACTGAAATAACCACAGACACATTTTCTTTCAAACTTCATTTATTAACTAAACATAGAGTTTACATATACTTACCAGTTTCCATTTCTCAGCACCAAACCTGTTTAACTTTCAAACAAAGCCATTTATACAGATTTTTCCCGCCTTCACTTTGGAGCAGCCATTTTTCATAACATCATCAGGGTCACAACCCCCTGGTCAGTAAATAAAAATCACAGTTTTGTTGTTTAAATTTGTATTGGTTATTTTTTGTGTTGTATTTTGAGTTTTGTATGCATATTCATTTACCTGCATTAATTTATATTCCTGTTGAATGTCTTTTTATGTATTTTTTTGTCTACATGGTAACCCACTACCAGTAAAATGGTTTAACCCATGGGCGGGGCCAATACAATAAAATGGCCCCAAACATTCACTTGAGGTGGGTAGTTGTAGGAAAAGGTTGTTTTGTATCGTTAACAGATTTTGTTCAGGTCTTTTACTGGATTTAGCTGAACAAGCCTGTATATACATTGTAAATATTGAATAGTTTATTTTTCTTTATTGTTATTTTGTCACTTTCACCTGTTTTGCTGGATTTTTGTTTTCACTTTGTGTAAATAAATCACTCTTCACTTTCACCAGCGGCTTCTGTGACACTTTTTTGCCTCCATCCACCCGGTCAATCGTAACAATCCAGTTTAGCTTTACTCCCTAGATTCGCTTTGGAAGACCCAACCCATTCATCCCTTCTCCCACCTCCTCAATTCTAGGATCGGGCAACACGGTGGCTCAGTGGCTAGCCATGCTACCTGACAGCATGAAGGTCGCTGGTTCAAGTCCTAGCTGGGCCAGTCGGCATTTCTGGGCAGCATTTACATGTTCTCCCTGTGTTTGCGTTGGTTTCCTCCAGGTACTCCGGTTTCCTCCCACAGTCAAAGACATGTTACGCAATTGAATTAAATAATAGTAACAGTCAAAGGCACTTAATACCAAGCTTCTCTAATTGAGTATGCACTGGTGTGTATATTTCCCAAATGATGTTTAACAGAGAAAGGAAGTTTTCACAGCATGTCTAATAATAATATTTCTTCTGGAGAAAGTCTTATTTGTTTTATTTCGGCTAGAATAAAAACAGTTTTAATTTTTTAAAGAACATTTTAAGGTCAAAATTATTAGCCCCTGTAAGTTATATTTTTTTCAGATAGTCTATAGAACAAACCATCATTATACAATAACTTGCCTAATTACCCTAACCTGCCTTGTTAAACTAATTAACCTAGTTAAGCCTTTAAATGTCACTTTAAGCTGTTTAGAAGTGTCTTGAAAAATATGTAGTCAAATATTATGTTCTGTCATCATGGCAAAGATTAAATAAATCAGTTATTACAAATGAGTTATTAAAACTATTATGTTTAGAAATGTGATGAAAAACTCTTCTCTCTGTTAAACAGAAATTGGGAATAAAAATAAACAGCGGGGCTAATAATTCAGACTTCAACTGTGTGTGTATATATATATTTATATATAAAATTAAATAAAATGTCTGCATGTTATTACAAAACATATTCATAAAATTCACACCTGATTACAGTGTTCTTGTTTCTTCTTTTTAGAAGCCGAAAGATAGATGTGGTAAGATTCAAGATGCAGAAATAATATTTAAAAATTTATTTTATTGACATGATATATTACTAACTCTGAACAGTCTGATGAGGTCAGAGTTTTTCATGCGAGAACAGTCTTGTTTCAACCCTTCACAGGTTTCCAAAGTGTCTGAGTTTCCATGTCCCATCTGCAGTCGAGTATACCCCATGCAGAAACGCCTGACACAACACATGAAGACACACAGCACAGAGAAACCTCACATGTGTGACAAGGTAACGCTTTTGAATGCTGCAAATAAACTCTGGAGGGAAAAAAGCTGAGTTCATAAGACATGTTCAATTCCACCGAATGCCTGTTTTGTTATGGTTGGTTTAATGAGGATTCAGTCCCTTCAATATAATAGTAATTGTTGAAGGAAGTGATTCTCTGTAGAGCAGCTCTGACACAGTCAGGAAACACTGCTTTTCATTTACTATGTTAACACTAGTGTAAATGTGTTGCTTTGCAGTTTGGGAAATCCTTCAAGAAGCGGTACACTTTCAAAATGCATCTTCTCACACACAAAGAAAACAGTGGCAACAGCCTGTAAGTGAGATGTCTGGACAAGTATATATGTTTGTTTCCCTATAAAAATGTTTACTTGTTTGATGAACAGTCATAGTATCTCTTTCTATCTGTGATCCTTTGTCAGGTTTAAGTGTGAGTTCTTGTCCTGAAATGACAAGAAGCATTTGCTCAATCATCAGCTGTCCCACACCGACGACAAACCTTTCAAATGTGAAGAGTGCAAGTATTCAACAAGCAAAGAAGACTTCCTGGTGTTTAACATCGCCATTAAACACACCGGAGAGTGATGTTTTTAATTATTAGGACTGTTTATACTTCAGACAGGGCTGGACGATTAATAGCAGACAATAATTTGTGCATTTTGTCAGTAAAGCTGGTTCTAATAAACATCCAGCACATGCGTTCAGATGCAGTAGCTTTTACTACACACTACACTGAGTTATTTACACTGATAAGCTATGCAAAACTCTGATTAGATTTAATCTATTGATAATGAAATAGAAATAATCATTCTGTGATAATGACTGCTGCATCACTTCTCAAACTTTGTGTAATAAAGGCTGCACTTGAAATTACGGCATTACAGACCATTTAGGGCAGTGTTTCTTAACCACGTCCCTGGAGGACCACCAGCTCTGCACATTTTTCAAATCTTCCTAAACAAACACACCTGAGTCAGATCATCAGCTCTTTAGCAGAGACTGAAAGACCTGTAATGGATGTGACAAATAAGACATCCAAAACATGCAGTGTTGGTGGTCCTCCAGGAACGTGGTTGAGAAACACTGATTTAAAGGTATGTAAACAACCTATTTAAGGTCCTAACCTATTTCATGTTTTGCATGTTAAATTTCTGTAGCTTCAGAGAATTCAAAATAGTACAATATTCTGTTTATTCAACAAGCGCTAGTGGTATTTCCTGGGTTTCTTTATGGGCATTTGGGGTTTCTGTGAGAGCACCCTCTGGCTTTTGGCAGAGATTTACTATAGATCACACCATGCCTCCCTGACAAGATATGCATGAGAATGTATGATTTGCTCAATCGAGTTTGCAATTTTTCATTACCAATAATGAAACAGGGCTGTTCAATATTTGATTCTGATTGGCTAATGAACATTTTGAGGTCTGCAATTAATTTTTATGGAAGCAAACAGCTAAAGAAGTTCCAGGCAGGCACTATGCTGAATGATTTCAATTGTTTCATAGACCACAAATGGCAGAAATCTCATCACAGTAAAACTATAGGCTTTAGGTGTGGTAACTGTAGTACAAGTGGGATAAATGACTCTGATCTATTGAAGTTGCAGTACTTTTCTAACAATTCAATGCCTGTCAACAATTATGCCTTAGTTAAATTGGTGGAATGTTTTCTGATCATGTCTGTTTGTCTTTACCCAGGTAAAAAGCCCTTTTGTGCCACTTCACGACGCAACACAGGAAGAACTCATTTATAATAACTGAGACTTTCGAAGAGTGAAACACTCTTCGACCCCAGACGCTGGGGTTGTGCCGATAGACGATGCCATCTTCCATCGTAGATGGCCGACAAACTTCACGGTGCTGAGCTGGCATCGGGATCCATCGCCTCGCCCCGCATTTATGTTGATATGTAACTTATTATGTAACTTATTATTTGCATATCTATCCCTATGAAGAAAAGATTTTTCAGATTTCAGAAAATAATACCCTCTCTGAATGTAGCTATAGAGACAGGATCCTTAAATTATTTGTTTCAGACACTCTGAGAAAAGATTCAGAATCTGTTGCAAATGGGTGTAAATCATTTGACTTGCAAAACAAAATGAAGGCACTTCAATATAACATTGTGTTTAAAAAAGCGCACAGACTGACAAAACGTAAGTGTAGGTGAAGTAGCTTTGGATTAAAGTCTCTGCCTGTGTATAATAAATATAAATATGTATATGTATATTTTTATCCTAGACTCACATGGCCTTGCATGCATATTTGAGGCCTCATAAATGCACCAGCTGCAGTTTTGCCTCTAAAAACATGAAAGACCTGCGACGTCACATGATGACACACACCAACGAGAAGCCTTACTCCTGCCAGGTGTGCGGCCAAAGGTGAGCAACTGAGAAAGAATCATTCAAATAAATTAGCAAATCTTAGAATTTGTACTGTTTACATTATTAATACAGACACAATCATAAATGTTTCCCCAAATTAAACAAAGAAACACATTGCCCCTCATATTGAAACTCTCATAAATTATTTTTAGGTTCAACCGTAACGGACATCTGAAGTTCCACATGGAGAGGCTTCACACTTAGGAGCTGTCTCCCCGTAAAGCTCGCTCCATCCCCTCACAGCAGACCATCATCATCAACAGCGATGAAGAAACTTTAGCCACACTGCAGAGTAAGTGCTGGAATGAATATAATTGAGTGGATGAACTATGACGTCAATTTTTATGCAAAAATTCTGAAGCGAGTTCCGGTTCCCTTGTCCCAAAGTCAATGGGTTTTTTAAAATGTGATTTTGGTTAAATCGCCTAAATAAGGTTTGTTGCTACCACAAACTCAAGATACTTTCACACTTTATTTTACAACACAAAACACATCAGATACATCCCACTTTTGATTTTATTTGTTTTTATCAGAGACATTATACGTCTTCGAGCTGAACTGGTCTGGAATGCAACCCGCTTTAAATTTACAGCTTGTGTTGGACATTTGGATTTGTCTGTTATTTGGTGAAAGTGTTTTCATAAATCATATTTTATATAGGTTGTTTTTTTTTTCTTATTGGGCCTTCATATTGAGTGAAGATAATGACCATTATGACAGATTCATTTGTTTTATCAGGGTTAGAGTATCATTTATTTCAATAAAGCTATTTAATGAAGATTCTGCTTACCATAGGACACTGTCTCTTCCCTGCTTTCAGTAATGCAAAGTTGTGAATAAATTTGTAAAATATATATAAATATTCGTGATCTAATGATTTTTTGTCTTTTTTCTTCATCTGAACAAATGTTTAATTATAAATGCAATATTTACGCTCCTCCTGAAACTCAATTATACTCACCTTAGAACGTATATCATATGTGACTGTATGGGCTGCTTTTCTCAGTACTTCATAACAAAAAAGAATATTGATGTTCTCTATCCATGACCACATTTGCAGCGGTTTAACAGACTTTTTGATAGACCTCATTTCTGTCATCTATGAAAAAGAATATGGGATTTGTAATTGACAGTCATAGCTAGGTTTTCACTACGGTTAATGGGCTATGTGCACGCAGGCAATACACTTATTTAAACATGTGTTATGATTAGAATATATAGGCACATTTCTAAAACAGTACATGTTTGAAAACGTATACACCAACTGTAAAGCAAAACAAATGTATTTTTCATTGAGAAACTATCCAAAAGGCATGTACTGTAGGTCTGTATAAATGTTGTGTGAGGATTATCCTGTTGGACAAAACGTGTAAGTGTAATGAACTGTGTTTGAACACAGAGCTAGTTATTTGCAATCTTCGAGAAGTCTATGGGAAAATCTTATGGGGATTTTATTGAAGGAACCAGTTTTATGCTAGCAGCCGATTGGCCTACAAGGTGACATCATAGTTCCTCCACTCTATTACGGTAGTCACACAGCCCTGGTCTGTTTATTAGACACATCTTGTTACTTTGTTTCATTATATTTCATCTTTTGTGATTTATAGATTTGCAGGCGGGTCAAACGGTCATCAGCCCAGAGAGGTTACAGCAAGCGTTGGGTCAGGAACACATCATTGTGGCTCTGGATCAAAGTCTTTCTGACCAGGTACTGCACAGCTACACACTTTCTCATTCACAGCCTGTAATTAATGTTGGTTGGTTATGAAAAATCACAAAGAAGAGCTTTACATTTGAGATTGTATCTAATGCAAGGTGGTTTAGATTTTATAAAGTGGTAAATGTATAAATGTAATATAAATTCAGGTTTTAAAGGCATGTTTTTGAAAAAAAGTTTCTTAGGAGGAGGCAACATATATTCAGCAGATCACAACAGTAGATGGACAGACCATACAGCACTTAATGACCAGAGACAACCAGGTCACTGAGGTAAGACTCATTTATTAAAGCTGTTTTCAAATAAACAGTAAACACACATTTAACAGTTTGGTTTTGAACAGATTTTTAATTTGAACTACATTTAGTAAAATATATAAAATAATAAGTGATTTTTTTCCTGCCCTAGTTTTAAGGTTTTAAACCTTTTTGTTTAAACACTTTTGCAGACAAAGTAGCAAAATTTAGTAGTTTGAAGAATAGTGGAAAGTATAAAAATTTCAAATAATAATTTATTAGTATTTTGGTGCTAAACTATGATATTAAAATAGAGTTTAGGAACATGTTATCAAATGATTCTTGTTTTAAATATGTCTGATAAGATTCTTAGGTCTATTATCTGTTGTTACACTGAATTATATTTTAGTTTGTGTCTTCTCATAATCATTGTAAAAAGTTTGACAGTCTACAAAAAAGTTAGGATTAAGTGATTTTCTCCTAAAAACACGCAAAATAATATAAAAACAAGCTTATTTTGCTTTTGCACTTTCATATTTTGTTTTAATGAAAAGCTGCCTTAATGTTGACATCTTTTTGTGAAAACAAGACTATATTTTTTTCTTGTTGTTGTGAGTTTATGATGTTTAAAAGGAATGCTGTAACATTAAGGTGAGACATATGTAATGTGTGCGACAGATTAAGGATGAGGCAGGAATTGATTTAGAATTTAAGCATTTTACTCAATGGTTTAAGCAAAAGATGTAACAATAATAGTAGAAAAAGAAATAAACATTTACAATATTGTCTTTAAACGAAAAAAACAATGAGTGTGAGCCAAATTAAAGAAATTAACAAAACAAAACAATCCTTAAATCTAATGTCTAAACTAGGTGACAAAAATAAATAATGAAAATAAAATCTATATCTTCAGTCACGACACCCGATGTAAACTAATTAAACTACAAACTCAAAACTACACAGGGGGCGAAACTCAAACTAATCCTAAAAAAATCAATCTAAACTAAAACAAACCTTACAAGAAGGTCATAAGGTTCAGTTTAGAATCACACAACAACCATCAAAGCCTTTACTCAAACCCAGCAAAGTTTAACAAGTAAACTCGAATTACCACAGTAAATAACAAATAATAATAAAAATAATAAATCATCTAATAGCCTAAGCATGACAGAAAATGCAACAGCGTGGCACCCAAAGGTATGCCGAGGCAGAGCGCACACCAAACACTGATCTTTAGCAGCTTTAAATCTCCGCGACTCATCCGGGGATTGGTTGATCTGGCACCATCATAATAATGATGGACGGTTAACTGAACCTATAAGAAAACTAAGAGTGGAGTGAGAAGCTGAGAGAGAAGGGTGAGGAAAATAAATACACAAAAGTAACATCCAAAACAATATATAGTTTTAATGAATCTTACTCCCAACCAGATTTCCATCCCAATCTTTTAATTACTTAGAGACCAAGAAGAAAGTTTTGCAGTGTATGTTTGATTAGGGATGAAGTATACAGGACATATTTTAATATATGATAAAAAACTAAAGCTAAATCACACTTATAGTTTTGACTCTTGAAAATAACACCAGTAAGCGCCTTAAGCCTCATATTTCCTTGTGTTAAATGGCAAAATTAAATTTACTGCCTCTTCCACTCCCTTTTCTCAGGTCCAGTATATCATCTCTCAGGATGGAGTTCAGCATTTGCTCCCAAGAGAGTATGTGCTGGTATCATGGGAAACACATTCAGGTTAGTATTTGTGCTTTACATCATTCATAACCCAAGAGTCCAGAACTCCTCATGGTTTTTAAAGAACAGTTCACTGATGGCTCATCTGATCTGTAACTGCAACCCAAGAAGCATTTTTAGCTTTTTATGGTCTGTTGGATGCTTTTTCATCATCATGACTAAAACCCTGACTTTGAATTGCAGATGGGGGACTGGCAAATCACTCACATTCAGTATGAACATGATGGGATGTTTCTACAGGAACAACAGGTTGAGTTCAGAGCCAATACTGGCACACTTGTTTACTTTGTTCATGTTGTAATTACTGTAATTCAAATGTAACATGATTGCTTATAAATACTTGAACTGTTTGTGTTTACTTAACATTAACAGTAAAACCAATGCATGATGTATGTCTTAACTAAATCAGAAACTTTTATTGTTTTGTTTTGTTAAACATTTTGAGAGGCCTGAAAACAAACCTTTGAAAATTGGTTTGAAAGACCAAGTTTTTGAAAATGCTACAGATTTAAATTAAAATGTTTTCTTTGTAGATTACATGGCATGTAAGTGTAGATTACAGATTACTTAACAATACAACAAAACTATAAACATCATATGTTTGCAGGCACATAGTGTATTTTATAAAGAGAAATTGCCAACTACTGGCCTGACATAAATAGTACAGCATTTTTCTGCCTTTTTCACAGACTCATCTGAATGTCACATTCTCATGTTACGATGTTTGTATTTTAAAACATTTCTAAAAACAGTTCTGAATTCACAGTAAAATATTGGAATTTTATATGGATGATTTGCTGATGTCGCAGTGACTGATATGTTTAGGTTTTGGGTCAGCGCTGGACTGTATTCTTTAAAAGTGTAGTTCTAAAAGTGCGCCTTAATGACGCCAGTGGCAACTGCAGTGTGTGTTAAAAATGACTGGATGCTGTTCAAACCTCATGCCAGATTTTTGTCACTGGGACTAGATCACAATATAAGCCACATCACAAGTGAGTTCAAAAATATATATTTTTATTAGAGACATACACAAAAACAACTGTAACAATAAAGAAGTGAATAATACAATAACAAGACACTATATATTAACAGCAAAGGTGTCAACTGGCTACTCCAGCATGAACCAGTCGTGGTAAGGCATCTGTCCTAGAAGAATTCTGTGCTCTGGAATCTGCTGCAGACAAGCCCACATCAGATCACAGCATTCTGTGAAAAACAAAAGGAGAAGTGAAATTATTATTATTATTATTATTATTAGTAAACTGTTTTTTAACTTGTTCTTTGATGAACATCTCACCTTGAGAGAGGGTAAATTTGGACCAGTCATGCTCCAGGTAGTACAGGTCATAAGTCGTTGGGAAATCTCCATGCAGCAATGTGAAGAGAAGAACCCCAAGAGAATAGACAGTCGCTGGTTTGGCATGGTAACATCCTCTTTTGTAAAACTCTGGCGGCATGTACGCTTCTGTGCCTGGAGGAGAGACATTTAGTTAAATCTCTGTGTCAGCATCATGTTGATAAATATACCAGATGGGTTTCAGGTGTGCTAATTACTGAGCTTTCAAACCGTATATTGATAATGCTTATGTACATTCATAACTAGTGTTGTCAAAAGTATCGATACTGACACTCATCACAGTCATATTTGCTGAGCATGTGAACACAAATGGCCAATCAGTGTTGTTTAACAGCGTTCAATTGGACATTTTTAAAATGTCAGTCCCAAAGTCGATACTTTTGACAACCCTATTCAAAACACCTACCAGAAAAGGTGGAGTATGCTGATTCTATCATGTAATCTCCGCAGCCAAAGTCAATCAGCTTGACCTCCAGAGTGTTTGGGTTTACAAGCAGGTTTTGCAGCTTAATGTCTCTGTGGAATACTTCCCGGTAGCAGCAAACATTGGCAGCATGAACAGCTTGGCCCATGATAGTTTGTGCCGTTTGCTCGGTGAGGACGCCTCCCTTGAGTTGCAGAAATGCCTCCAGGTCCATACTTGGCGTAGGCCGCTCCATGACCATGACATAATGGTCTTTGAAGACCTGCCAGTCAAGGAGCTGAATTATATTGGCACACCTGGAGCCACTGCTGGCCATACTTGCCAAGGTGATCTCTAGAGGTGGCTGGTCATGAGACTGAAAACAAAATAATAATGTTGGTTTTCAAACAAGGATTTTTAACCACAGCCTGTTGTCTAATATTAAATATAAGACATTTTGAGTTGAACACAGTGACTGAGAAGAGAAAAACAGAAAGTGTAGTGTACTTACAGAGCAGAGATCTTGCATACGTGGTGTCATCTGGGCAAATTTAACAGCCACCTGTTTAAAGAAATAAGCGAACAATTAACATGTGCATCCAGATCATTTCATTCAAATCCTGAACAGAGGTTTCATCAATTTAAATTCTCAGAAATGTCAAAACAATGAAAGCATGTTTCTGATGATGTTCTTTAAATAGTGAACTTCATCAAAGAATTTGAGTCTACAGAAATGAATACCTGCAGACCATCCTGTATGCGGATCCCCTCAAAAACAGAGCCGAAACCTCCTTCACCGAGCTGCTTTCCCAGATTGTAGCGGGAGCTGATGTCATCTGTTAATATAGGAAGAACATTTAGCTGACTGGACACAAAATCTTATTCAATTATAAACCAAATAAAAGAGTTTACAACAAATAAGACTTTCTCCATAAGAAAAATATTATAGGAAATGAAGGAAGTGAAAACTTCTTTACTCTGTTAAAAATAATTTGGGAAATATTTGAAAATGGAATAAAATCACAGGAGGGCGAATAATTTTGACTTCAACTGTATAATTTTAAAATGTTTGATAAGCCTAAACAAATGTTATGAATTCTAGCAATAAACTTACTATTGTCCAAACAGGTCTCATCATCTGCTGTAAGACTCAGAGCAGAATCATCAGCGGAGTCATCTTGTGAGACCTTCTGATTCAGTGAAGACTCCGAGTCTTCATCCAGTGCAGAGTCAATGTCAACCTGCACAGAGTCTCCGCTGAACGCTTCAAAGATGCCATCTGATGAGAACTGCTGGCTCACTGGAGATTCAAAGCTGTTCACTTCAGATTTCACAGTGGAGTCCAAGTCTTCTTCTGCTGGAGCATCAGGAATTGAAGGTTGGAGAACCTCCAGCTCCAGATTGTTCACAGCAGTGTGAAAGAATTTCGAGCTACTGATCGGCTCGTCCTGTAGGTCATGGATCTCCAGTGCAGGGAGCGGATCTAAAGAGGGGAAGGAATATCATTAATATGATTCTGTAACTCTTTTGACTAGATATTTGAAGTTAATTTGCAAAGACATCACTCAATGTATTTTATTATAATCTTGCAGTTTTTGTGTATTGAAGTGATAATTAGCAATAAAAAAGTATGTTTAAACTATATATCTAAAGGCATAAATACAATTAATTATGAATTTCTTGTTTTAAACACAAAAATAGACCTATTCTGAAGAATATTCCTGAAATCAGCAGCCATTAAACTTCACTGTAGGAACTCAAAATACTGGAAGTCAATGGCTGAATTCAGTATTTGTGTTCAACACAAGAAAGCACCTGAAACAGGTTTTAGGAGTGAATTATGACAGACTATTCACGTTTATGTGAACTGTCCCTTTTAAGAAATTACCTAAAATTCTTAAATGTTTCTAGTCAATTTTATTTCTTATCTTTAAACAGCTACTCTGACATGTTCGGTGTGTTTTAGCATTGTTTTAGTAATTAAAATTCATAAACCTAATTTACCATCAACAGTAGCTCTTCTGGGGAAACAGGCTTGGAAGAGGGGCGGGTCATCGGGTATCGGATGACGGTGGTTTTCTGCCGTGTTGCCGGTGGATGTGAGTGGCTCACGGGGTGGTTCGTGTGCACGCTTGATACCGAACGCTTTCTTTAAACGGGAAATTAACTTTGAAAAGGCCATTTTATCACCGTTGTGTGGAATCGCAGTAAATACTGAACTACTAGTCGTCGAAAGAAGCAATGAGGGTTTCTGCTTGATTCAGTCAGCGTTAATTAGCCACTGATGATGTCAGAGTTACGTGGTTCCATTTGGAACGCGAAAGAACATTTTCAAAACACGCGGGGACTTTTTAAAACACAATAACTCAAACAACTAATGCAGGGCCGCGCTAGACTGACTGGCTAATTTGCCTTAAAGTGCCCACACATCCACGTTATACACACACACACACACACACACACACACACTTAGGTCAGAATTATTATCCCCCCTTTTTCTTTTCAGTTTAGTCCCATTATTAATCTTAGTCGACACAGCAGATTGAACCGCCAACTTTTCCAGCATATGTTTTACACAGCAGATGCTCTTCCTGCTGCAAGCCACCTCTGGGAAACCTTTTAATTTTTTCTCTATTAAATATTTCCAAAATTACATTTAAGAGAGCAATACAATTTTCACAGTATGTCTGATATTTTTCTTCTGCAGTTTTATTATTTATTGAGTATAGTATAAATATTACTTATTATTAAGTCTTATTTGTTTTGGCTAGAATAAAAGCAGTTTTTATAAAAAAAAAAACATTTTAACGTCATAATATTAGCCCATTTAAGCTATTTTTTTCCAATGGTCCACAGAACAAACCATCATTATACAATAACTTGCCTAATTACCCTAACCTGCCTAGTTACCCTAACTAACCTAGTTAAGCCTTTAAATGTCATTTTAAGCTGTTTAGAAGTGTCTTGAAAAATGTCCAGTCAAATATTATTTACTGTGATTATAGCAAAGATAAAATAAGTCTTTCACGATGTAATTTCTCATTTTAATAATAGTTTTAAAGGATGTGTGGTATTTAGTGACTCATTATGTTTTTAATTTAAATGAACTAATTTAGTAATGTTTGTATGTAACTGGATTTGTAATTTTTTTTATCTAAAACTGTTTCTTCTCAATTAACATTAGTGACAACATTAGAAAACCATAGATAAGAGCTGACAGTTACTTACAGCCATTTATTTATTGCCATCCTGGGTTTTGCTTTCATTTGCAAATTTCTTTCAAAATGTAGCACTTAATATTTAGTTAGTTTCTGTCATTTGAAAGTAATTGTTTACAGTATTGCAATATTTCTGTCTCTATTGTAATGTTACACTACTTTTGCATTGAATCTGAGCTCATTTTCGATATCATGGGTATGACCTATTATCTAGACTGTATATCAGTGGTTCCTAACTGTTTAGAGTGGCATACTCCTAACATCCTTCTCCATTCTCTTTTCCGCTCAGACTGCAGTCTCTTCATTTAAGCACAATATTTGCAATTTAAATAAACATTTTCTGTGAATTCTTTACCTTTATGAATTCTTCTTTTTTTTACATGAATAATGTTTAGAATAAAGTATTAAGAAAAATATACAACTATAGTCAAAATTAAGTTATCCATGCATTAACTGAGCCCGCCAGTAGGTGGCAGTAAAGCCATGTTTTAAGTGAATAAGACATTTATTCAGTAACAAAGCAACGGTTGCATTTATGAACAGGTCAATGAATCGACTCTCACAATTCATTTCAACCACAGATTCATTCACCAAAATAACCCACTCTAGCCGAAGAAACCACTGGACCGATGTGAATGCTACCAGGTTGGAATAATGATTAATATTCTTGTAGATTGAAGATTTTGTTGACATTAGGTTTTATAGAGTTACAAAAAAGGTAGAAAATTGTTTTAACTGCGAACTGTAACGTTACTGATTTTGTGTGAACATGCTACATGCTAACACTGTCATGGCATCCAACAACTGCAACCAGCAGCAGGGCATCCAGCATGACGTTTAGTGTTTACTGTTGAGTAGAAACACGACACACACATTATTTATTATCAACACACACACACATAGAGACAGACGGAATATCAGAAACTTATCTCAGCTCCAAATTAACATCACAAACTGCCCTGAGAAGTAACACAGACTTCTTCCAGAATCATTAGTCATTTATAAGTTTTTGTAAGTTTCATTTATAGCCTTTGTAAATAGTGAAAGAAATTTATCTTTGTGTTCCTACAATTTTTAGCCTTGTAAAGGTAAAATAAATATGTATAGAGAATACTGTATTTAAGACAAATAATGGACATGTCTCTGTGGATGCTGCTTTAATGACAGTCTGTATATACCTGTAGGCTGGAGGATTGACGTCATATTGCTATGAAACAGTT